CTTGTTATATGTCAGATTATTATTTTTTTTTTATAACGTTGTTTTTCTTAAATGCAAGGGGTATGAAAGTAATGATTTGACAAAGCAAGAGCTATAATAAGACTATCCCGGGTCCCGGTATACACGTGATCAGTGTTGATCAATGTTGATATGTACGAGTACACGTATGCAGTGATATACGTCATTCTTAATAATCATGAAATCTAAACATGAGTTGGTTTAATTCCTTTTCACAATTTTTTTTATCATCATTATATCATTATTTGGTAGCCTACTCGTAGAATTATGACAGTTCAGTGTTAATTATTTGCATTAAAAAAATCACATAGGTAAAAAAAAAATTACATAATTATCATGATCAGGCCCGTAGGAAGCAATTTCACTTTGAGGGGGCACAACCATACATTTTCAGTTGGGGGGCACTATCACCTACCAAAATTCCTTGACAAGCGAAAAAAAAAATGTCATCAGACGTTATTATTGAGGAGGCACAAACACATAGCTATATTTTCTATAGTATTCTATAAATCGGCAAAATTATTGGGGGCATGCCCCCCCGTGCCCCCCCCCCCCCGGTTCCTACGGCCATGATGATTATATTTACAGGACAACAATTTACAATCAGGTAATTTCAGAAAGTAATATTCTGTTGGTATTTGCTTTTCTGCATGATCCGCCTCTGAGAACGCTGTTTTATAGTGTGTCTACAGAAGGGGGGGGGGAGCTTTAATAACTTAATAAAAAAAACAACAACATTCAACAAGAAAATAATTCTTTTTATTTTTTGATACTTTTGGTAAACAATACCAACTAATTCATTAATTATAATGTTGTTATCTGACTGTTTTTAGCCATTTACCTGGTGATTCGAAATACCCGGAAGTGACCTGCAATACACTAAAAAGGTGATGTAAATATAACCCCTGTCAAGGCCTGTATCGTAGATAGACTCGCCGTGTAATGTAGATTTGATTTTTCATTGAATTGGCTTTCCTTTAATACCAACCAACCATTTATAAACTTGTTAATAAAATCGTTTACAGTCAAAATGTAAAAAGTGATTCGGAATACTATAAATGTACCCGTTATAAAAACAACTCATTATCAACTCAGTGGACCGATAATTTACTTCAAAATAAGCTATAGATCAATAAAATTGATTTCAGATTAACCAATATTTTATTGCAAAGATAATGTAAAACAGAGACCGGGGATTTTGTATTTCTCTGTATTTTAAACACTCGATATGCGTACATTTGGGGCGCTCTTGCATATACATGTACACTTGTACATTCGAATTCAAGATTGTGCTTATAAAAAGAGCATGTTCTGTACTTGCATGCATGTATGTATGTATGTATCCGTAAAACTTTCCGATTTTCCCGAGAATTCATCCTCACAATGTCAATTAAGGTTCCGAAATCACAATACCTTGACATTGTGAGGATGCTGAGAATTGAAAAAGTCACCTCCACTTACAATTATCATGCATGTGTACATGCAGTTTAAAACACGAGACAGAAAAATAAATTGTTGCAAACTTAATGGTTAAGTCGGCAATTAAAATGCGTAAAACTTGAAATGAATAAATGCACGGGCGGTAAGGATTGATAAAAATAAGCGTGAGATAGAGTAAAATAAAATAATATGTAAGATTCGAAATGATTTCAAACCCAATTTTCCATTAATCGCTATGAGTACACAATGTATTTTAACACCGATATGACCCCGGCTCTCTGCGGCCACGTGTGCACGAAGACTGGGTTACAAAGCGACAGAGCAGAATGTAAACTGTGCTGTAAGAAGGCGTGAACGCTTAAGATTAAATCAAAGATGAGATTAAGTTATCTTAAAGATTCAATATAAATTAAAAAAAAACATAATGTTTCATTAGTCGTTTCTGCACGATGGATTAATGATCATTAATTATTCGATGCTTAAAGTTTAATATTACTTATATAGTTATATAGATACATTTAATTCCTTCCTTTATTAGAAGACGCTGTTCCCTTTAAAACTAAATTAAAAAAGAAAAGAAAGTTGTAAAAAATAATTTATGAGTTAACCATAGAACACGTTTAAAACCTTATTTAGAAGAAAATTAACATTAAATACAGTAGGGTATATTATTTATAGCGAGTTTGTTTAAGTTATACACACGAAGAGTTCTGATTTACTTGCCGAATGAAAACGCTTACCTGTTTAAACATTGTTCTAAGTGTTATACATTTACTTTATTTTGTTCTTATAAGGTATCTACATGTAAATAAAATTTTAAAATGAATGCTTCGTAGCGAACACATGCCAGTTTATATTTTTCAAACAATCTTTGCCAATTACTACACTGCATGTACACGTTAGTTGTTTGTGCTGTGTAGAGCAACTATCAGAGTACACAATGTATTTCAACATCGAGGTGCCCGCGGCTTTCTGTAGCCACGTGTATGTAAACAAGGACTGGACTACAACACTTAAGACACAAAGCAGCAGAGATGGATGAAACTGTTTGCTATATTACAAAGACTTGAATTATAGTACATGTATATTTGAAGGAATTTTTATTTATGTTAATGTTTATTTAATTCTATAAATAATAAATGGACATTCACAAGAGTGATGGTAAAAATAATATGTGCGTAGCATGCGTAGTAATTACAATTATTTACCGAAGCCCCCATTCAATTACAATTGCAGATGAATTAAAATACAACAACACGGGATAGAGCAATACTTTTTTTAAATGTATTGTTGCGTGAACAGACAAAAACAGCGATTAAAATTCAAAATGATTTTTATGCACCAGTGTTTGGAATTAAGATTATAAAAGATCAGTAAAGTAATCTTACTGATTCGATATAATTAAAAACATAACTTTCCATTAATTAATAGCTCTTTGTACAAAATTGACATTATACGCGATCACAAATACTAGCTTTGTTTATGGCCACAGGTGGCTAGTACACTGGTGACCTCGATCAACAGCGTGGGATTCGCGCGTTAGGTTACATAACTAAACATCGAGCTGAACATGGAGACCGTAATATGCATACAGCTAATGATCGTGAATTATTCAATGCATACAGTTTAAAATCACTTACAAAGTTTGTTGTAATAATAAACGTAGAAAGATAGATTTAATATTCTCCGCTTTTGAACACTATTAATCTAATTTAAAAAAGAAGAAAAGAAAGACTAGTTGTAATAAATAATTTAATAGTGAACCATAAACCACGTTTTAAACCTTATTAAAAAGAAAATTAACATTAAATACCGCAGGGTATATTATTGATAGCAAGTCTGTTTAAGTTATACACATGAAGAGGTCTAATTTCCTTGCCGAATGAATAACGTTACCTGTTTACCTGGCCTGCTTTCTAATACGTATTACGCAATACCCATGGTATACTCGAACAAAACAACATTTTCATTAGATCAAAAAGGTGTAAAAGAACAATTTTGTTCCCAAGATCCAGATCGAAATATTTACCGTTTTTGAGTTATAAAGCAAAAACTTTTAAGGGCCCAAGATCCCTAATCATAGGGGCCAGCCCCTTTTAAATAGTATAATATGAAAGCCCTTGCAATTATGCACAACTTTTGTTCTACATGTTTTAACAAAATATTTCTAGTTTTCAAGATATAAAGGAAAATATGTCAAATTTTTTGCTGTTTTCCGCGTTCTAACTTTTGACCCCTCTCTAGCGCCATTTTTAATGCAAAAATCAAAAAACAAAAACCGATGTGCACAACTTCAATGCTTCCTCTTTTCAATTTCAAAGGGTTTTGTGCTCCAATTATAACCATTTCTGAGCCTTTGTCTGGAAATCGGAGGCATGCAAAATTCAATCAAAGGGGAATAACTCGTGAACAGAAGGTAATTTCCGAATTGTATTACGGTATTCTGAGAGTGTTTTGTAAAGTCTAAAAGCTCTGAAAATTTGAACAAAATCTGTTTGAAAATGAGGAAGATATGAAGCGTCAAAGTTGGCGTCTAGGAAAAAAAAAAAAAGAATAATCTTAATCATCACAATCAGTAGAAGGTCTTCCGTTGGAAACGGAAGACCTTAAATATGAAAGTCTAGTACCAACTGTTCAGAAGTTATGGTTCAAAAGTTGGTTATACACGCAAATACACGCAATATTCACGTGAAATGTGAAAGGTCTTGCTACAAGAAATACACGTGTGAAATATGAAAGGCTTAGTACCAACCACTCATAGGTTATGGGCAAGGTTAAAGTTTTTTGCGGACAGACATACAGATTAACAGACAGATGGGCAGACCAAAATTTATATGCCGCTGGATCTCCGATTACGGGGGCATACAAATATTTTTTTTTAAATTCTTCCACTCTGACTTTCATGTGCAAACTATAGAATGACATTAACTTATCAACAATGAGATTTCAAAATGTACAAAACTGTCACACTCCGGCCTAAATTTCAAAATGACCTAATTAGTAATTGAGAATCAAGAGACAATGGAAATTTTCTCTAACATCGTTTATCAACTAAAATAGCAAGACACAAGATTGTAGAAATGATTTTATAAAACTGATAATAAATGTATATGTACTGATGAATTTATTTTATGTATTATAAAAGTCATGTCCAGCTGATGACTAAACAAATAAAAATTTCAAAATAATCGTCTCTGATATTGAAAGATTTTGTAGACATTAATGATGCCTTATTAAGTACCTTTATTGAATACTCTATCCTTTAATTGAAATAAAACGATTTATTGTTATTTAGAGCAAAGTCAACAATTTACATCTAAACTAGTTAGATCGTTTTTATTTAACTTTCGATCATCAATATAACTCAAAACATGAAAGTCAACTGTTTCATGTGTAGCTATGTAGGATCGAAAATTTGTTTTGCGCCCATTTAATATAAATATACATTTTAACAAACAAGAAAATGTATTTCTTTGTTGGTTTATATTGGGCTACAACTGTTTGAATCAATACAAAAATGTAAAAATAAAAAAACAACTCACCCGTCACAATCGTCATCGTCATCATCGCACTTGTCGTCACTGTATACTGAACCTGGGAAGAATTAGAAATCTAAAGGTATTCCACCATTATTTTATTTAAGGTAAAATATCCTCATATATGTTTGATTTAGCATGTGTCTATGCCTTCTGCCAAAGCATTTTTCTGAACCCTTTACTATAGCGTAGATTCAATTAATTATAAGGTGCTACACAGGTGGCTTCCGCTCGACTGGCATGAAACTAATTGTAGGGGTCAAGAAGGGATTCTCTAAAACAGGTAACTCTGAAATGTTCATAAAATATCACGATCATCAGAGTTGTCTTTCCCAGTATCTCGCCCTGCTACCAAGATTGATTAGATATATAAATTCTCTTGGAAGATTTTTACAAAAAGCATTACCATAAGTCAGATCTCAGGCATGTGAACTGTTTTGTGATAAATTATGCAAAAGTATGAAAGTATGTACTTTCATATGTGTATGATAAATATGTTTGCGAATATGATATATATATATATATATATATATATATATATATATATATATATATATATATATATATATATATATATATATATATATATATATAAATTATGTTTATATATAAATAAAAATATTTGTTTTATATATATATATATATATATATATATATATATATATATATATATATATATATATATATATATATATATATATATATATATATAAAACAAATATTATTACTTGCGCAGAATTTATGTACATGTACAGCTATATATGTATAAAAGCTATTTGGTTTATTCCTTCTTTTTATGTCTTTCTCCTATCAATCATGCAGCTCTTTCTCTCTTGTGTGTATGTATATTGTATTACATGTATATGAATATATATACATGTAAGTGTTTACAATGCACTTTCTTTTTGCCCCATGAGGGCCCTTAATTGGTAAATAAACAAATTGAATTTAATTTAATATACATAGTAATGTTTTATACGAAAAAATATGTATTGACTGGTTTAAGTTGGTTCAAATACAATAATCTATATTTTTTCAATGCTTACTTAATAATTCTTCAGATATCCCAAACAAAATCTGTAAATTTCTTTGATCTTATTTGAGATGATTGTGACTATTTTTGCCAGGTATTGGTATAAAAAAAAATGTTTTTCAGCTATACATTTACGTCGTGTACTAAAAAAAAGAATTGGAAAAATTTTGAATGTTTGTAAATTTGATGCATTGTAGGCTGTCGTATACGCGCATACTAAGTGCTCAACAGGCCCGTTGCAACGGCTTCAAAAGTTAAGGGGGGGGGGACAACTTCCAAAAAAAAAATCTGACAAGCAAGAAGAGAGAGAGATTTTACTGTCCATATCCTGAAATTAACCTGTGCTCGACCTTTCAACATCAAAAGGGGGGGGGGGGGTCAATCAGCATCTAAAGGAAAATTTACTATAGCAAAATCTATACTCAGGAAAAGGTGCCCCCCCCCCCGCCCTCTCCCCTCCCGCGTTCTATGGGCCGGCGCAATACCTCTTTTGCCCCGCGGTACACTAAATTCTCTCAAATGTTTTTTTTTTTTAATTTTGACCCCCTCTGTGAGAAAATTACTTATTACATAAACGTTTATACGTTTTGTATATGTTTATGTTTATTCGCCAATCAAGGGCCCTCAGGGGACACGTACAATTAAAAACAATATAATCATGATTATAAAAAGTAATGGCTGCATTACGTGCAATATTGACCTGATCCTCACTTGCAAAAGTTCTCAACTAACAATTAAATTACTGGTATGGCTCACACAATGAACAGATTTATATGATGAATTTAAAAAAGTCCTCTCCCTTTAATCGTACAACTAGTACTATTTAAAATGTAAGTATATGGTGTAATTCAATCGTGCACGCGTATTTTTGTTTTTCTCAAAAGATATAAAAGCAAGCTATCGTATAAATTGTTACGAGCTTCTTGTTCCAGTCTGACATTTAAAACTATAGGATAGTAGAAATATTGCAAAGTTTTAATTTTAAATTGACAAATAGTTTATAAACTTTTGAATATCTTCCATCAAGAACAAAAACAAATATTACTATTCATATCACAACAATTTTCGATCTGTAACTTGCAAATAATCTGAAAGAGAGATAACTATGTATGTTTATTTATATACATGAACAAGTATGTATTTAACTATATCGTAAGAAGTGAAACTTTAATATTTGTCACTGGCACTTGATCACCCCTGTTTTATTTAGATTTTATATCGTTATGATTTTTATAAACTGTAAGTGTTTCATACAGAGATTGTGATTTTTTTCATACAGCTGAAAAATAAATAATATTGGCTGATTTTGAAAGGGATTAAGGAAGTGCATGTAAATAACACTCAGCAGGCCCGTAGGAAGCAATTTCAGTTTGGGGGGCACAGGCATACATTTTCAGTTGAGGGGGCACTATCAACCAAAAATTCCTTGACAAGCAAAAAAAAAAAAGGGCATAAGACGTTTTTATTGAGGGGGCACAAGCATATAGTAGCTCGGTTTTCTATAGCAATCTATATATCGGCAAAAGTATTGGGGGGCACGGCCCCCCCGTGCCCCCCCCCCCGGTTCCTACGGCCATGCTCCGGAACATGTACATGTTTATGACTGTTCAGTAGATTTATGAGTTTTTAAGATATGAAGTTATTTACATTGTACATGTACTTTCATGTATAACCGATAAAACCGCAAGTCAAATTTCAATTTTGAACTTTTATTAGATATATGAATCTAGCTTCGAACATGTAGTAATATTCAGATAAATATATATTTGTATTGAGATTATCTTTTCTCTTTATTATTAATTTACAGATATAAATTCTTTTTAAATCGACTATTGTACTAGAATCTTCTAGTGATAGAACGATCACAAATTTCGTCGGTTATATAAAAATGTAGTTACTAATTGTTTTTAGCATACATGTAGAGTTAACATGTACTCAAACAGTGGTACAGTTTCCGTGCCACCCAAGGATTATACATCATTTTTTCAATGTTCTTTTTAGAAATGAGAAAAGAGATAGGCTGATCTATATACAACTATACTTCTGAAAGTACAAAATTACTTACTAATAAAGCAAAACAATACCAGGATTGCTTGGGGAGACAACATCCAATAGAAGGAACCCATTCCTATGAACTATACAACGTATTAAATTGCGCAAGACCACTCTCTTGTCGGGGAAATATATTTAAAAGTCTTTAAAAAATTGGCATGATGCCATGATTCTATTTCACTGAATATATATATCGATCGGTCATAGATAATTGGTTTAAATACCCGATCGAAGTTTATGTGTATCACGCGATCCAACTACTCTAGATAGAAACATTCCGTGCACTTTCAAACAAAGGCTGAAAAAGTCTATTGAAGTTCGTGCAATACACCAAAAACTAATATACTGTGCTAAGGCCAACATTTTTTTATTTTCTGTTTTACGGGAATTTTTTTCAAAAATTTGAGTCGGGGGGTCGAAATAAAAATAAAAGCTTGAAATTTAAGCAGTCGGTCAGAAAAATAAAAATAAAATGAAAAAATGCAATAAAAATTTTTATTTTTAATTAAGGATGGAACTTTTTTCTATGACCTTAATTTATTAGGAAAAAAAGTGTTATTTGAAAAACTTATGTATACAAAACACAAAATTGGTACTGCTAATGTGCTAATGAACTATTTTAGATTTAACTTTCTCTTAGGTATTAATATTTGGGGCAGGGGTGCATTTCTAGTATTAACAGCTTGCAGTTTCTAACATTAATGCAGATCAAACATACAAATCTATTATAGTCTTCTCTCAGATGTCAAATATCAGTGTCACCACAGTAAAACTTATAGGACTTATGTCACACCCTTCATAAACTTTTCAGAATCTTTTATTTTTCGGTATTCAGCAAATTACAAGATTTGAGGATTTTGGACTAGCTTTCAATTGGCAAAGTTATGGCAAATATACAGTGAGACATTCAATGGATCAGCTAAAATAAATTAATTCACAGAAGTGCACTGAGACATGATAAAATGAAAAGTTGTATAATATTTTTTTTTCAACGCAATTCAAATTAGTATATACCTAGGTGGAAAAAAGTACCTCAATCTCTCTACTGAAAAAAATATTCAATCTTCCAAAATCTGTTGTATATTTGATCGTTTTTTATCCTTATATTTTTCTTTCTGAACATACTAACTTTCAACATAATTGTAGAAAATATGTACATCTCTCCCATAGTATACACATGTAAAATACACGACAATATTTCTGCTTACTGCAGAGTTCAAAACTTTAATTGTTGAAACTGATTCTAATCCATAACTTTTGAATGAAAAAAAAAGAAAGCAGGCCTTGAATTTGAATAATATTTGAAAGGGCGTATCATTTACAACAATATTGTAGTACTTTTCCCTAGTGGTAAAAAAAAGTTGTTTTACTAAACAAGAGATACATATACGCTATATCAGCTGTTTAATTTGTTACATAGCACGCAAAATTTTATAAAATTACATATAAAAAAAAAGGAAATAATGTCTTGTATCAATCAAGCATATATTTTCGTAGGTTATTTTGAATTCCAATATTTGTCATAAAACGAGTGAAAGTTGTGACTCGAATTTCCTCAGCCACGCCACTTTCTACCAGTTCTACTGTGTTCTGTTCTGTCGTTAATTGTAAAAGAAAACACTATTGTCTTAAAATTAAGTTTAAAAAAGATCTTCAAGATGTATTTCAATGTATTGAAGCAATTGTCCGAGATAATACGTACTCAACACCTTTCAAAACAAGCGGTTGACAGAGCCTCAATTTCTACGTGGCCCTCTGCATGACATTTGATCATGATTACCGTTTCGTCTATTTCATTCAATTTTTCATTAAAAGTTAATCTGAAATTTATACTTTTTTCTAATACTTTTTGAAAAGACTATTTGAAAATATATGAAACCCTGCGATTCTGACATTTTGGCGCTATTCTGTGCCCATGGTGCAGTGACTATTCACACTTCGAATACTCTGATTGGATGAATATATTTACCTCAGCCAATGACAAATCGCATTTTGAAAGGCTTGTGAAAAGTTTATTTATATTTCTTTTATTTTTTCAGTGACTATAAATAAACTATCGGCGGGAGAAATAAAAATAAAACTTGAATTAGGGACTTTTATTTTTATTTCATTTTAGCCCAAATTAGGGTCGGCGCTCCCGTAAAACAGGATATAAAAAAAAGTTGGCCTAAGTTTTCAGTTGTTGTTTTTTTTTTTTTTTTTTGTTTTTTTTTTTTTGTTTTTTTTTTTTTTTGAATTTTATTTTTACAAAAAAAAAAGTTTCATTATTTTAGGAATGACTCTAATTCTTGGCCAAATTATTCGAGTATAACCTGGTTTAGGTCAGTTTACGCTTTATAATCCGCGAAGCGGATTATAAAACAGCGTAAACTGACCCAAACCAGGTTATGCTCGAATAATTTGGCCAACAATTAGAGTCATTCCTTATAATTTAATTTTAAAATCATTAAATAACTATGGGTGTAAAATTTCGTTACTTTTTATTAGTTCAAATTTGCCGCTCAATAATACAACCATAGTAACGGAAGTAACGGAAGTGATGGGAATCGAGGGGAGGTAAAAACTGATACATAGGCCTAGCAGCCATGTTGTTTGGTTACATGTGGTAAGATCGAATTATTGTTTGAAATTAAAGGTACATTTATTAAATCTGGAATTTTCCATGAATCCCGAGGACTGGAAATGAGAGGATTGTATGGATACAGATGATTCAGCTGGTTGTCAAGGGGGTGTGTCCCCATACCAAACCAGGTTATACAGAAATAATTTGTGTTCCTTTTTGGATATTAACCAATCAGAGGCTAGAATACAAACAAAATTAAATTGTTATATATCTTTACAAAATGATCCGAGATTTACCTCCCCTTAGCCGTTCAGAATGTAAATTCATCAATCATTTTAAAAATTATTGGAAAATTATTTATTTATTTATTTTTTATTAAAGATTTTTCAACAATTTTTCAGTACAGCATAACAGGTGAAAATCTCAATAATTTATTTGTTTGACCACTGCTTATTCTTGTATATATAGTGTTCATTGATTTCCTGTTTTCTATAACCTTTGGCTATAAGGAGGCGGATCCCCTCGCGGAACAGTCGACTGTGGATTATACCGTTGGTTACTACGAGCCTCATCCTGTGTCCCGCTCTGATCTCCTGATAAACCGTACTGATATGTCGAACCGTATACATCATGTGGGAAAACTGTAGCCATTGGCGTCAACGTCGAAGTCCCGGCCTCCACCACGCCCTGCCCCACGTCTTCTGTCTGAGACGCCGTCTCTGTTAGTTCACCGAGTGTTCTGTTTGTCCTAGAACCTTTTTAGAAACATTTATTATTAGATCATTTAAGGCGGACCGAAATATTTATTAACAAACATATGCACAGTCGTATAATCCTAGATTTAAAAAAATGACTAAATATTTTTTTTTCCGTGGCTTACTTAATGCTCCACGTCGTTCAATCCTCTTCAAATAATTGCAACAAACTGAAATTCCCACTACTGCAACCAAAAATATCAACCCGAGCACTCCTAGAAAGTAAAAGGCATCCTTTGACGTGATTGAAGGCCCAAATGTATCATTACAACAATATTGGTTTCCATAACTTCCACAACATGTGCCATTTCCCGGGCAATAAAATGCCCCACGATATCTATCGTAACACATAATCATCTTTTTTTCAAATGAAGAATATCCGTTTATTACGTCATACATTACATATGACGTCAAAATAGCCACAAAATCTGCAAGCAGTCTAGAAGATTTCTTACCAAATACAAATCTCGATTTAAAAGTCTGATAGATTTACGGCATTTTCTAAAATTCTGTTTTATTTCTTCACCAGATAGATTTTTTAGAATTGATTTTTACTGAGTAAAATCAAAAGGGGGATGACTCTTCAGGAACAGGACAAGGTCATAATTTAGGGCACGTTCCGCTCTTACATACCGATACTACAACATTCATTTAAAAAAAAAATTAGCCCATACATGTCTGTCATGAATTCAATTCCATTGAATCTGAAGCTAATATGTGTCGGATACTTTAAATATAAAGAAATAGTTCACTTTTTGTTGAATCGCGCGACTTTCACAGAATTATCAATTTATATCAACGATAGAAAAAATCCGTCAGATGTCCGTTACTTTGTTGTTTGATGAAGGCAACTTTTAGTTGTGTTTTGAGGAAAACTTAAGTTATGTCTTAATAATATATTTCAGATGAGTACATGATTGTGTAATTGTGTGAAAACAAGCACATGTTATGTATTGTTGTTTGCCTCATATAGTGTAATAATAACACAAGGTATTTAACTCAAAATTGTATAAAGGACCTGCTACCCAGAATCGCAGTCATGTACACTTTCACAGAAAAAGCAGTATAAAATTGTTTATAACTAGCTTCTGCTACGATGATTT